CTCCGGACATCTTTGTGCATCTCAATGCATCGTTCTCGTTGCCTAGTGAAACCAGAATAAATTACAGAAAAACAATTACAGACAAAACGTTGTCAACACCACGATTTCCGATAATATCCCGCGAAAAAAATTATGATCCTCAAAATAATACATTGTACCAGAATTTGTTTCCCGAAAGCGACACATTTTCGCATACTCGTCAGCGTCGAACGTTGAAACAGCTTAACACGATTGCTGTTAATTAAAGAAAATTATTCTCGAAATTACCTTCGATCTAACCTAATCGCACCACCAGAGCTCGCACACGTTGTCCATTCCGACGTCACGTGGTCGATTTCATCTTTGCCTCGGAGAGTGGGTGGGGGAAGGGGTGGATCTGAAGCCGCGACAGATAGATAGGTGCAGGGAGGTCTAAGGGAGGTTGCATGAATCGGCGGTTCGGGAAGGGGTTGGTGTGCCGTTCTGGCCCGAACAGAGAGTATCGTTTCCACGATCCGATCGCGGGGTGGCAGGGGGGGGGGCTGGTGTTGGCCCGGTGACCCAGTTTATCCCCGGGGGTTGAATGAACGGCACTGAACGCAATGACGTCATTCCCGACCTCATTTCCGGTTCCCGGTACAGCCAGCTATCCCGGCACCGTCCCGTTGACCCGAAATTTCTCGTGAATCGAAGGACGCTCGTTCATCCCGAGCCATTCTAGCAAGCCATGAATGAATTTTCCGCATACGCGCCGCAACGCCGCGAGAAAAAAATACCGTTTCCCCATTGGAAGAAGAAGCCCGCCGGGATATCACCTGGCCGCGCCGTGTGCCGTCTCCGATTACGCGAACCACCACGGTCGGGAATGCACTTTTTGTTCGGCCGGACAATAGCGATCGGAGCCGGTAATTAGCGATCGGCCCACGCCGACGCGATCCGGGGATCTTGCCGATGCGCGGGGGGGATGAATCGCGGCGCACTTGTCGGATCCTCTATTATTGGCTGCGATTTAACGATGCTCACGATGAACTTTCGGTCGGTCGCTCGTTCGGCCAGATAGTAATCCTTAAATTGATACCGGGGCAGGTCAGAGTTCACGTCCACGCGACGTTAACTAATAACGTTGTTCTTGATAATCCGATTCAGTTCGTTTCTCTTTCTCTTTTTTTTTCGTTTCGGGCGGAAAGAACATATCTAAATTGATGTAAGAAGCACCCATGACGAAAGAGGCAACCGTGTTAACGTTTTCTCTTCTTTTTTTTTCGTTTCGTGAACAGTCTACCGAAGATATATCGCTACATTTCAAACGTTAAATACACTCTTGCTTCGGTTATCGGTGTTGGAAAATTTCGGATAAACCGAAGCTGCGTCGATTCTTATCCGATTATTATCACGTTTAATTAGGTCTCGCGTTTCTCAGGGTTTTAGCGTTGTTTGATTATCCGTGCATCGACGACGGCTCGATTGATTCGAATAATCGAATACGTTCTGCGATAAATAGATTTTTTAATATGAACAGGATCATATGCAGCGACCTCGACCGTCCGACATTTGTATCGTTAAATATCAACGTTTATATTTACCATTCTACCACTTGGAATGGATACAATTGAATAATATCCTTCAGTACACACGACCGCATACGTGCGCTCTGCCACATTAAAGGCTTCGTTATGTCACGTTCTGATTGGACAACCGGTGTACCCAGTGTCGACGAAATTAGAAAGAAGTTTTTGCTAATTTCGGTATACATAACATGGTGTCCCAAAATTATGCTACTTTCGGGAAATGAGGAATTCCTGAGGTGATTTGATGCAACTTTTTCCTCAGCGAAAATGCAATCCGTGGCTTCGTTTGCGAGTTATTAGCGAAAAACAGTGACCAATGAGAGGCGAGCTCGTCAGGCGCTAGGCGGCCGAGCCAATCAGCGGAACTGGGCGGCGAGGTTTCTTTTTTAGCATTTTTTTTTCTCTATGGTGGATCTTTTGGAAGAACAGACGCATTTTTATAGTTCAATCCAGGAGGTTAAATCAGGTTAAATGATTGGTGCTCCCGTTTTGTGTTTTTTTCGGGAAATGAATTCTACTAGTCTCAGTAACTGGTCCAAAATTTTGCTGTTCACCTAGGGGGACCAATTACTGAGACTAGTGGGATGGATTTCCAGACATATCCCAAAAATCCGGAAAATGAATTCTACTAGTCTCAGTAACTGGTCCAAAATTTTGCTGTTCACCTAGGGGGACCAATTACTGAGACTAGTGGGATGGATTTCCAGACATATCCCAAAAATCCGGAAAATGAATTCTACTAGTCTCAGTAACTGGTCCAAAATTTTGTTGTCCACCTAGAGGGACCAGTTACTGAGACTAGTAGGATGGATTTCCGGACATATCCTAAAAATCCGAAAAATGAATGCTACTAGTCACAGTAACTGGTCCACTTAGCTGGATAGCAAAATTTTAGACCAGTTACTGAGACTAGTAGAATTCATTTCTCGAAAAAATGAAACTGACATCATAGATCCCTTTCTTTCGGGAAAGTTGACTGTGCCCCACCTCTGGTCAGTGTTTTTCGCTAATAACTCGCGAACGGTGCCTCGGAGAACATTTCTGTAAAGGAAAAAGTTACTTCAAATAACCTCAGCAATCTCCTCGTACTGGACGTTAACATGATTACGGTGCACCCAGTTGTACATCGTTCCACGATCTCGTTGAAAAACTGCGTTACGTCGCGCAGCTTTCTTTTTCGCGTCGAACAATGCGGGGAACAAGCCGTGCTGGATATCGCGCAGAATTTAGCGGTGACCGGGACAGGTAGAATTACAACCCGGGCGTAGTCGAAAAGCTCCAGAGTTATTTGTCACGGGTATCGGTTGCAGCTCGCGTCTCGTGGATTCGGCACGGTTTATCCGATCTCGTAAATTCTCGGTCCACGTTTCTCATTTCCGAAAATTCGTTTTCCGAGAAACACGACGGCCACCGTGACGGACGGACAACCGTTCGCCGGACCAGAGAAGGAAGCTTTTTTCGCCGGGTTTGCTCGCCAGTGATTTGTGGAGATCGGTGTGTATACCTGAGATGACACCCGAACCACTTCGGGAATAAAAGACGGTCCAGCAGGTATGCGAACGATTCATGGTGTACATTTCGCTGGACAATCGGGTTCGTTAACGGTCGAAGCCACGGAAAGGCTGTCTCGGGACCCTTCAATGATTATGTCATGCATACATACACACATACACACCGAGTCAGGGGCGCAGTGATCTTCTGGAGCCGCGTTTAAACTTTTTTCCAAGACGATGCAAATCCAACGCATTAACGACCGGTCGTCCGAAAAATTATATAGGATCGAAGCGATTTATTCAATTTTTCGACGGTGGACATTTTTGATCGGCGGATTCTGGATCTTTAAAATACAAATTGTAAGAAGCGGTACAGTCAGTTGAAAAATGCATTGTTACTTCGACGATCTTAATAAGTTGATTCCATGAAATCTTCACACTCAATTTCCGTTTACAGATTTTTTAATGACTCCATTAAACCATGTACAATAAGGATTTGGAAACTAACGATAATTAATGTCGTACATGTTCGCACGTAACATTGCACTGTATTTGCTAAAGAAATGATCCGGTTTCAAGCATTAATAGATAAATACCTCGTTCAGATCATAATTAATCCTTCCGTTCGGTTCTCTCGTTAACGGACATTTTTATACATATTTTTCACTCGCCGATGTTGGGCTTGTCTGTGCGAGAGGATCCGTTCAATCTCACCGGGACGACTGTAAATCTTTCGCTGGAAAGTGATCCTCGAGGACAAAGGGCATCCCATTACAATGCAAACCTTCTATCGGGGGCGTCACTTTGAAAGTGAGACCCTTCAGAATGATGAGTTCCGACGGCTCTGCGCCGCCTTTCCTCTCCGAGTCCATTTCTCACTTGGAAGTTTTTTTTATTTCTCGAACCGGGTGGAGTTATGGTCAACGGGTGTTTGGATAGGAAAGTATCTTCCAGTCTGCTCAACGTTACCAAGTACGGTAAATTTTCAAAATGGACCATTTTGAAAGAGCGGATACAATTATTCGGAGCTTGCGAATATATTTACATATATAGTTATATTGTATATGAATAAACAAATTACTTTTCGCCCAACTATAATCAATATTAACGTTAATCAGAAATTTTTCCGATCTGCGTGAAAAGAATTCGGAAAAGTATGATCATTCCATAAAAAGGAAGACCCTTGACCCGTGAATCGTGCATGCAAATGTTCGAAATGATCGCAGCACTATTCATTGAACAATTTGATATTCCGCAAGTCTCCTTCCAACTGAAACTTCTACTTCCAAGAACTTCTCTTTATCTGTTCTTATCAGACCGTTCAATGTTTGAACGCGTTTCGTTTCGAAATCGTTCTACGGTTAATTTTTTTTTTAAAGTAGAACCCGCTAAAAATTACATAACTCTCTCGATTATTATAAACAATACCCAATAAACACGAAAATAAACGAGTACGTTGGAGAAGACTGACAAGACTGACTCGTTGATTAGAAAAATTTCCACTAAAAATACAAGAAAACTTGCACTTCAGTGAAATAATATAAACAAATATGTCGCATATTTACGAACGTTTATAAATTTATTTGGGAATTTGTGTATGCTTTTTGCGTAATTGTAGCAAACAACGGTGGCGTTTCGTTGTCAAGTGTCAAAAAAAAAAAAAAAAGAGAAAACGAACGAAATCATTTTGGCGACTCGAGTGTCGCGTCGGTCAAAAAGAAACGTTTTATTAAACAGAAGCGTGTGTCCGATGAGGCAACCACTGGCAACGCCATCTCTCACATCGAATCAATGTTTTTGTGTGAAATCCGGTTTCACGGACGCTGATTATGTTTGCTCCCCGATGTTGGCTCCGACGGTGCGCGGGCGAACCATTCGGCGATTAGTGTCTCGGCACACGGCCCCAATAAGTATGTATTCGAAATGTCGTAACAGGGATATAAATGTTAGACAGAGTCGTCCGTGAGCGTTAGTAGAACTGTTTACTGTCGTACGAGCAACACGATGGAGTATTTGAGCTTCGATGTGACGAACAAGACGCTCTCGTTGAAGAGAGCCGAGGTTCCAACACCGAAACCGAATGAAGTTTGTGTTAGAGTAGCGTTCTCCGGCGTCTGTGGGACCGATCTTCACATTCTAGAAGTGCGTCAAGTATAAATATCAATCAATCAATCAGTCAATCGATCGATCGATCGATCGATCGAATGTTTCTTGAAAAATAGAGGCAAGCTCGAAGAAACGTTTGTTCCAAGAAATTCAAATGCATGTTTGTTCGGTCACAAAAATTGAGATCAACGTTTCCTTAAAAATTAAAATCAAAAATGCACGTTCATTCCGAGAGATTCGAATGCATGTTTATTCGAATAAAAATTGAAATCAATGTTTCCTTAAAAGTTAAAATCAAAATGCACGTTCATATCGTGAGATTCAAATGCACGTTTGTCGTTCGAACAGAATTGAAATGAATGTTTCCTAAAAACAGAAAAAAAAACAACAAAAAAACGCGCGATCATTCGAAGAAATTTCAATGCATGTTTATTCAAGCAAATGCAAATGAATGTTTTTCCATTTTCAAATTTAAATAAATGTTTATTCCACGAAATTCGTACACACGCGATTGTTCCGAGGGATTCGAATGGATCGAATCAATTTTATTTCATTGCAGAATATATTATACATGGTTGGACGAAATTAAAGTATAATAACGAACGATATTCATTTTACAATTCTCTTCAGATTATTATATAAGATTATTATATATTATATATTATAAATTCTTCGATTCTCGCGCATTGATTTACATTCGGTTCGATGCAACATACATATATATTTATATTCATACGGTGTATTATTTATATTTATAAGGCACATTTAAACTTATCGTACGCGATAGCAATATTTTGTTGATCGTAATAGGGGCTCGTCCGAAACGTACACGGTGCTCCGATAAATCTCGTTGATTAGTTCGCGAGTTGGTTGCGCTACAGGCGACAAGATTCATTGTGAACATAGTGCTGCAATAATTCTGCCCGCTTTTAACTAGTCGGTGCATAGCTCTCGCGGCAAGAATTATTCGAGCTGCGTGTGCACGCAATTATTCTTGTCGGGTTCGTTCGATATGTATATCGATCAGATACAAGCGGTAAGAATCGTTGCGTATCCCGGAGTCGCTGTGATTCATCGTGTGTGCACAGGGTTGCGATGATGTTCGATCATATTTCTTTTTTCTACCGTGCACCGCGTAATCCGCCCGGTCGGAATTATTGGAGCATCGTGCGTGTTCGCTACTCGCTGAAATAATTCATACACCGATCGGACCATTCACCGTTCATTAATAAGCGATGCGATGATTTATTCGATCTAGACGCAACGATTCTAGTCGGCTGATCGATACATCGATCGAGCAAGCCGAATTTACTGTGCACACGTTGTTGCAATAATATTTATCGGTTTCTGCTAGATTTACACGGCGAAAACGACACCGTAATTACCGATCTTTACGGTTAAATTGACGATTTTTAGAGATTTTCGGTTGTCGAGAAATTTTGAAACGGAAGCGTTTTCAAATTCGAACATTTGTTTTCCCCTAACCGCGAAGGTTACGTGAAAGTTACATGGAACGTTCGTTACGTGGATGGGTTCTGTAAATACTTTTGAACGCAGCGATGTACTTTTATAGAACATTATGGACGCTTGAATACATTTGAATAATATTTGGAAAGAACGAATTTAAATTAAACGAATTTATTAGTGCGTTAAATTCTACTTATCATTTTTTCAACAGTATTTAAACAGATTCAAGTGTTTTTCAGACACTAGCTAAAAATAAAATATTTCATGGTTTATGATGATTGATGGTTTATCCGAAATTATTTAGCAATTAATTTTCTGCAAATCGTCGTACCGTTTAGGGGTTGAAAAACTGAAAACGGTGCAGTAAACTTTTTGGAATTCGCATTCAGCATCGAATCGATTGACCAGCAGCGTTATTGAGACATCATGCACGCTCTGCAGATAAATTACGTAATTCACGCTGCTCTGATCATATATTGTTCAGCATCATGCGACAAGAACGATTAGCGTGTTCGCGGTTAGAGAATCGCTATTTCCGGGTGGCCTATATTTTGATCGGATATCTGGAAAAAGAAAGAATTCACGGATCAAATGATTTGTACATAATTCTTCAGGCCATATGTTGCCCAGCTGTCAGCGATAAGAATTGAGGGGAGTACCGACTACTATTGCTTAGGTAGCATTAATTGTCAAATAAAGCGACAGCTGTAAATTATATGGTTACTATCACGTGCATTGGTAAATACGGCAAATTCTCCCTAATTGACGCTCGGCTTGGAAACGAAAATGGACAATTTGGGGAGTGGCGGCACGATTATTCGAGCCTTGCGGTTCATTTTTATAGTCGTTGGCTATAATATAATATTATATAATAATTATATTATAATATAATAACAATTATATAATATTGTATTATATTATATTATAATTACATTATACAACATAATTTATAGTTGTTAACTATAAAAACAGGCCGCAAATATACATATACATATAATAATCGCATCTCCTTTTCCCAAATCGTCAATTTCGTTTCCAAGCTGATCGTCAATTAGGGAGAATTTACAATACACAGTAAATAAAACTGTTCTTTTTCTCTGCCTTCGTTTTCGCAACAGGGAAAAAAAGTGAAACCCACCCCATCGTGCATACGGGATAACATAATTTGAAAATCGCATTCGTAGCTTCCTTTTTTTGGTAAATCGTACGCTTCGTGTTCGACGTTTCTGCAACAGTATCCCGGCCATTGTGACAGATTTAATTGGTCCGATTTGCAGTTGCTCAAACAAGCGCACCGGTCGCACCGTTCAATTTGCATATTTAAAATTTCGTTGGAACCAAAATGCAGACACGGTCACGGTTCCACACACGCACGGGACAAATATAATTCTCCCGTTTAAATGCTTCCCGAAGGAAATTTTTGCTACACCGATGTGTCACGTGACCTTTAATCGCCGTGCACCGATTACATTTCGTGTCCAAAGCGGCGGGAATGTCGCGTAATTTCTTAACACATAAAAGTGTCCTCGGAGATAGAGATTACGGTTGAGCGAAACAACGTTCGCGTTGATAAATATTCACCGAACACGGCATCCAGCTTATTGATCGCCCGATGCTGTGCGTGCGATCCAGTTATACTAATTAGAATGTTATTACGACCGGGGACCATTATCGGTCCGGGAAAACGGTTTCCTTGCAACAATTATTTCTATTATAATATATATACATACATATATGTGTACATACATAATTCGCAAGTGTAAATCGTGTGTAACTGTACTAATTACAAATGCATTATTTTCTTTCCAGGGAGCGTTTCCTTGCAAGAAAGAAGGCTCGTTGACGCTCGGCCACGAATTTTCGGGCGTGATCCAGTCGGTCGGATCAGAGGTCAAAGCTTTCAAGGTTGGGCAAAAAGTGGTGGTCGACCCGAACGATGGTTGCAACAAGTGCGAGTGTTGTCACAAAGGGACTTACCAATTCTGCAGCACCGGTGGCTTAAATAGCACCATAGGCATTTACAAAGATGGCGGATGGGCCACTCACGCCCTCGTGCCCGACACACAGGTGTGTTCGAATAATTTGCAGGCCTTTTTATGATTAGCTTAGATTGGCATTACTTTCTCGAGCCGAAACGGTCCGTTACTGTTTTATAAAATATTATATATTTGATTCGATAGTATCGTAATTATAATAGTAATAGCGTTAAATACATTAAAGTTATTAATATATATTAAATATACTAAAATGATTAAAAAATATATTAATTATATCAAAATTATTAAAATATATTAAGTACATCAAAATGATTAAAAAAAATATATATATTAAGTACATCAAAATTATTAAAATATATGCAGTTGCCCAAGAAAATTCATGTCATCTATTAAGGGATTTATAAAATAGCAGATGAAATTTCACGCAATTATTAAGTCGTACCGGGCCTTTAATTTATTACATCACAGTGATCGAATTAATGAGAGATAATAATATCGGTTTTTATCGATTAATAGTAAACATTGAGTTCGGCAAGGGGATAAAATATTTTTGTACGATTTATCAGTGGTCGTTCTAAAAATGTGGAAGATATAATGTTTAAAAAAAAAGAAAGAAACACGACGCCAGCGAGAGATGTTATTGTATAACAGATATTTGCTATCGAAACCGTGTTACATTCTATGGAAATTTTATTTGCTCCGTGCTTCGTATGGGTCGCTCCGACTCTTTAGCCATTAATCTTTCTTACATGGCCGATAGCGAAACCCATTAAGAATATGAATCGTCGAAATGATAAATTGCTCAGCCCGTATACAATTTGAACAATGACGCGTCACTCTGCGCGTATCATTCGTGCTTTCTGCTAATTATTGATAAACGCGGAGCCGTTTATTATTAACAATCCCTTCGCACGGAGCTTCGTTTCAACGAGTTCTTTATCGTGCACTGCCGTCAAATGCTAATGAATAATCCTCGACTTTTCACAAGATAATGCAACATATACGCGCGTTCGTACGGTTAAACGTTGAAATATCACAGCATCTTGTTGCCAGGCCAGCGATATTGGGTAATACAGTCGAGCAAGAACAAGATAATAAGTTCACGCGGCGGAAAGGTCGCGATCAACACCCGAACAGTGTTCCGTATAGTCTCGTTTAAAAATACGTTGCAAAAAAAAAAGCTATTCGCGTCACGTCGCGAATAGTTTCGCTGTCCAACGAACGGCCCTGCGAACTCCGGCTTAGCGTAGTTCGTTTTAATTTCGTCCGATGGAAGGGATAAGCCGAGCCCTTATACCGTAGGTCATCTGAATTCCGTGGAACCCGTGTTCCCGTTTATTTTTAAGCGCCGCGTTTCGTTTCGTTTCGGCTCGGTCGCACGAATCTACAGAAAACAAATGGTCACACAACGCGACGATTTCGATCTGCGACGAAGTCGGAATTTAAGTGTGCCATTTTGTTCAACGCGGTTGTTTCACGGATAAATAAATATCCGTTGCAGGTCTACGCGGTGCCCGATGACGTCGAGCTGCACAAAGCCGCCCTCACCGAGCCCCTCTCTTGCTTGGCCCACGGATGGGACAAGATTAACCCAGTCAACGTCGGTCTTAATGTGCTCGTAATTGGCGCTGGAATAATTGGCCTTTTGTGGACCTGCCTGTTACATTTACGCGGCCTCAGGAAAACCGTAACGGTCAGCGAACCTCACGAGAAACGGCGCAGCATGGTGTCCAAACTCGGTAATGACTCGACACTGGGCTCGATTCCCTATGGTCAACGAAACCATGATTCGTGGATGTTAGGGTCTATATCAGAATTTTTACTAATCAGACAAAGTATAATTGAGCCGTTTATTTTGAAAGTGGCATAAGTCACTTTGTTTTTAAGTCGATATATTTAAGGGTTTGCGTTTTGACACGTTTAAAAATATAGATGCTAACTTTCGAGAAGATTTGCTTGTATTCGTTATCTCAGGATACTGATATTTTTCTCAGTACAAATAATTTCGTATAAACATTAAAAAATCACCACTTTTCATTACGGTAAAGTGACTTATGCCACTTTCAAAATAAACGGCTCAATTATTGAGACAGTCGGAGAAGATTTGTGCTTGCTTGAGAATATAACAAGATGACAAGACGGTTGAAATTGTTTAAGAATCCATAAAAGAATGTAAATTAGAAGATACAATATGGAGATTATTTTACTATAATATCCACGACTTCAAATTGGAACGTTGACATTTTTAATGAAATAATTCACAATGCATTATCGACTCTAGTATTTAAAATCGGTTTTTGAAAAATTCTTTGTCGAAATAATGGACAGTGTCTTGCATTTCTTCGCAATGTGAACGATAATATTGCAAAATAAATGTTTCCCAGATTTGGATTTCGAAACGAAGACTCCGGATCAATTGAAGGAAGGGTACGATTTAATTGTCGACTGCAGTGGCTCGGGACCAGCTATGCAGGCATCCCTGCCGTTGTTGAGATCCGGCGGCCGTTTATGCGTCTTTGGCGTTGCCAGTCCTCAGACGAAGTTCACCATCGAGCCGTACCAGGTAAATCACTGATTCACGTTCATGTCATCGTTTTCCTGTGTAATTGAGTCACTATTATATCGTCAGTAATCGTCCGCTACCGAAGCAGGGCTGCATTTATGTATATATGTCTGTTTCCTTTTTGTTTCCCAGATTTTCAAGAAAGAGTTAAGTATTATCGGGGTAAACATAAATCCTTTCACATTCCCGGAAGGTTTGGCTCTGCTGAGAGCGATGTCCGATAAATATCTTGATTTCAATAAGTTAGGTATTAAGGTATACGCTTTGTCTCAGTATCGCGAGGCTTTGCAAGCACTGAAAACTGGGGAGATCAGCAAAGCGGTGTTTAAGTTATAAGTAAACTATTCACGATTACGTCGAACGTTTATAATACCTTTTTGTTTTGTTTATTTGGCGAACCTTTACCACCTTATCCCCATCGATGCTCCAGAGACAGGCGCGAATGATAAAAAAAAACAGTAGATTTGACGCAATTCTCGTTTATTAAAATTCACATTAGTCTAGAAGTAAATATAAAATTGCAAACTCGTAAAAAGGTCATAAAAAATCTTACTTATTGAGATTCTACGGGGTGTCTGCCTTACGGTACTTGCGCATTCATCTGAAAGTGACAAGAAGTAAACGAAAGATCCCTGTTATGAGTATGCAGTCTATGCGCAGTAGTAACACACATATAAAATATCCTAGTCACAANCCCACGGATGGGACAAGATTAACCCAGTCAACGTCGGTCTTAATGTGCTCGTAATTGGCGCTGGAATAATTGGCCTTTTGTGGACCTGCCTGTTACATTTACGCGGCCTCAGGAAAACCGTAACGGTCAGCGAACCTCACGAGAAACGGCGCAGCATGGTGTCCAAACTCGGTAATGACTCGACACTGGGCTCGATTCCCTATGGTCAACGAAACCATGATTCGTGGATGTTAGGGTCTATATCAGAATTTTTACTAATCAGACAAAGTATAATTGAGCCGTTTATTTTGAAAGTGGCATAAGTCACTTTGTTTTTAAGTCGATATATTTAAGGGTTTGCGTTTTGACACGTTTAAAAATATAGATGCTAACTTTCGAGAAGATTTGCTTGTATTCGTTATCTCAGGATACTGATATTTTTCTCAGTACAAATAATTTCGTATAAACATTAAAAAATCACCACTTTTCATTACGGTAAAGTGACTTATGCCACTTTCAAAATAAACGGCTCAATTATTGAGACAGTCGGAGAAGATTTGTGCTTGCTTGAGAATATAACAAGATGACAAGACGGTTGAAATTGTTTAAGAATCCATAAAAGAATGTAAATTAGAAGATACAATATGGAGATTATTTTACTATAATATCCACGACTTCAAATTGGAACGTTGACATTTTTAATGAAATAATTCACAATGCATTATCGACTCTAGTATTTAAAATCGGTTTTTGAAAAATTCTTTGTCGAAATAATGGACAGTGTCTTGCATTTCTTCGCAATGTGAACGATAATATTGCAAAATAAATGTTTCCCAGATTTGGATTTCGAAACGAAGACTCCGGATCAATTGAAGGAAGGGTACGATTTAATTGTCGACTGCAGTGGCTCGGGACCAGCTATGCAGGCATCCCTGCCGTTGTTGAGATCCGGCGGCCGTTTATGCGTCTTTGGCGTTGCCAGTCCTCAGACGAAGTTCACCATCGAGCCGTACCAGGTAAATCACTGATTCACGTTCATGTCATCGTTTTCCTGTGTAATTGAGTCACTATTATATCGTCAGTAATCGTCCGCTACCGAAGCAGGGCTGCATTTATGTATATATGTCTGTTTCCTTTTTGTTTCCCAGATTTTCAAGAAAGAGTTAAGTATTATCGGGGTAAACATAAATCCTTTCACATTCCCGGAAGGTTTGGCTCTGCTGAGAGCGATGTCCGATAAATATCTTGATTTCAATAAGTTAGGTATTAAGGTATACGCTTTGTCTCAGTATCGCGAGGCTTTGCAAGCACTGAAAACTGGGGAGATCAGCAAAGCGGTGTTTAAGTTATAAGTAAACTATTCACGATTACGTCGAACGTTTATAATACCTTTTTGTTTTGTTTATTTGGCGAACCTTTACCACCTTATCCCCATCGATGCTCCAGAGACAGGCGCGAATGATAAAAAAAAACAGTAGATTTGACGCAATTCTCGTTTATTAAAATTCACATTAGTCTAGAAGTAAATATAAAATTGCAAACTCGTAAAAAGGTCATAAAAAATCTTACTTATTGAGATTCTACGGGGTGTCTGCCTTACGGTACTTGCGCATTCATCTGAAAGTGACAAGAAGTAAACGAAAGATCCCTGTTATGAGTATGCAGTCTATGCGCAGTAGTAACACACATATAAAATATCCTAGTCACAATTGTATAAATAATTTCGTCTACAATATACAACCATTGGTCTAGTTCTAGAAAACGAATTACATGCTTTGCATATCATCACGGTCCAAGGTACTAACGTGTATAGTTAATATATCGTAATATCAGTATTTTTTTTTAAATATTTTTTAGTTAATATCATATTATCTTTTCGTGTTTGCCAAACATTACATAACAAGGCAGCTATAGAGTATCATATAGAATATTGCTACTTCGAGTTTTTGCATCATTAATAGAGGATTAACAAGATTTAAGTATTTAAAATTGTATTGCTGCACTTTTGAGCTCCTACCAGAGCTATCTGGAAGGTTGTATTGATACCACTAGTAACATTATTATCAATCACTTCCTTCGCGTCTATCAGTTGTACTGATACCTCGAGCGTTGAGAGACAGGCCGGGAGAATTTAGGGAATCGTACTTCATAACAAAACAATGTGCAAGTTAAGAGGCCAGCTCGGCCTGAAACTTTCACGCGGCACATCATCGTCGCTCTACTCACCGTTATCATTTACATCTTTAGATTCTCCTCAAGGACCACCCCTTAAACTTTCCCCACCCACTGCCAAACACCCTGTATAGACGAACTATATAATATACATATATATATATATCGAACTATTGATATGCAGTAATTTTATTTTATTTTCTTGTTCACTATGCATCACTATGTACTTCATCTGGAATGTTAGTTTGTACCTCGCCAACAACTCTTATATGGCTGGCCCCTAATATATATATATATATATATACGCTAGTAATCAATTTTAGTTGTAAATAACTACAAAAATAATCATCTAAAAAGTGTTAAAAAACAAATCAGGCCCCTAATGTTATCGGTGATGTTTCTCTAGTATCTATTGAGAATGATGAACCACAGTACTATTAGCAGCCATTCAGACAAGTGGCATCGACTTGCTGCTGCCCATCGTAGGCCCGAGTAGTTAATATTTGGCGTGGAGATTTCTGTAAATTACAACATTGCTCTGTAAACATAATACATCGTTCGAAGCATTTTACACAACACGTTTGCACACATAGTGTACACGTAGCTAAGAAAAGACATTTGGCAACGTACCTCATAACAACTGTAAGCATTAAAACTAAGACTATCAAAGGTCCTGAAGATAATGGTACTACTCCTGCCCCATAACGGGCTCGATCACAAGCTGGTGGACACACAGGGACAGTTGTTTCTGCGCAAAGAAACAAGGAAAACTCTAGAACATGCTAACTACCGAACTCAACATATGAATGCAATCAAATTAAATTCGCAAAATCAAATAGATCCTAATAAAAGCAAACAGAATATATAAACAAGTAAAATACGAAATTAACGTTTCCACATTATCGTGCACAAACAATATGTACATGTTTATCTACTCTACATCTTTCATATACCTAAGATTACAACGAGAAAGGATGATTTGGTATTTCATACATTCATATTTATGAATAATATATTCGCGTATGCATTGAAATACTTACCGAACAGATCAACCTTCGTTTCTGCAGTACCTAACTTATTAGCAGCTCTGCACACATACTCTCCGAATTGTCTCTTCTCAATGGTGATTACTCTAATCGTTGTATCGGTATATTGATCGGCCGTCGCAAAATGTGATATACTATAATGCTGATTGTTGGATAATTGCGTGTTGTCCTTGTACCAGGTGATTGCTGGTGGAGGATAGGCCTCTACGTGACATTCTAAGTCCATATCGTACTGTAAGGCTTGACCAAGACGTGGTCTAGGTGCTGTAATCACAGGTGCAAATTCAACTTCAACATTAATATTACGTCCAATTCCGCGTCCTACACCATTTTCTGCGACACAGTAGTAAGTTCCACGATCTTCTTTGCGAATGGAAGGAATCTTCAATGTGTTGCCACTGAAATATTATAATTATTAAAAAGAAGTTCATACGAATGTCTCGGATGATCAAAAGTGAGTTTCATACCGATAAATTGATCCACCAGTTGGTAAGATGGCATTATTTTCCCTACGCCATGAAATTTTGGGTGAAGGAAAGCCACCAGCATAACAATCTAGTTGCACAGGTTGCCCCTCGCTAACAACAACTGCTCTGGTTGAATTATCGCTTATAACGGGTGGTCTGCGGACTTGCAGTTCAACATTAGCAGTTACAAAAGTATTCGAAGATATTAAAACTTTACATTGATAAAAGCCTGCATCTGTCTCTTGTATGTCTTTCACCTGGAATATTTTAAACATTATTTTAACATTAGTGAAAACCTAAATTAAACGGATACATAATTATTGGACTTATAATCATGTTTTCCACCAAGTTACCTGCAATATAAAGGTAGACGTTGCCTCGTCGTATCTGAGGGCAAATCTAGTGTCCCTGATAATTAAAGAACTACTATGCGAAAGTGGAAGCTGTTCATTGGCCATGTCCTTATTAATTTTTGTCCATATAACTGGATAATCTTGTGCATATTGAACGGAGCAACGAAATTCTACAGTTTCCCCAATATCTTTAATTTGTTCTTGAGAAATGTAAGATATTGTTGGTGTACGTTGACCCTTTACTGGAAAGATAATATGTTTGCTTGGAAAAATTCTATTATCGCTAGACATAAAAAAAGAATATTTAACGAATATGAACTGCGATCTACTGGGCGTGCTTATATAAGTATCGCATCGTTCAATTGGCACATAGGAAAAGACACTACGAACATCAGATTACGTGAACGAGAAATCGGCATTGCGGCCACGTTTAATCAGAATACTGTCGATAGAATTAAGAATGCAGTATATTACGTACAAAACGAGTACGTGCAAACAAACCTTGTAGCTCTTTACCTGTTTGTAAAAGGACAAACACCAGAACTGTATAAACAGTCTTCATTATGACCACGCCCGAATAATCTTCACCTCTTTTTGTGCGAGCGTCTATATGTATCCACTTGTTGTCAAACAACGCAAGTGAATAGGAATCGAAAGGAAGTAATGCTCACAGGTGTCTGTTGACCGAAAATAAGTATGGCGAATGACGCTACATCTCTGGTCAAGCGAGACACTAAAACCTTTCGAAGTACTCGACGCCTATTAACGATCGCAATTCGTATGCGTTCCGTATAATATGCACCGTTATTTATTTAAATATTTTATACACGTACGTTTGTACTTTCACCTGTTAACATTCCGATCGAACAGCAGAAATAGTCGCGATTATGACTCGCTGGATTTCTTCAAATTTGTAATTTACTGTTACAGAAAAAACTGTTATTTTCAGCACGATCTTAGGAGAACTTCGTTTTTATAATCGGGCACCTTGCTGTGATTTATTGCAACTCGGTTCTTTCGAAACGCATTCATTGATCTCTGTAGCCGTTTAAAGAGTACACGATTATTATGCGACGTTTATAACATTTGAATATAGTTTACATAAGATTAACGAAGAATAATCGTTCTATTTCTCAATTTTCGTTCCACAATGAACGCTAAACCGTGGCTAAAATTGTGGCTAAAAATCGAGGCTAAAAAGCGAGAGCTCTGAAAATCCTCTCAAACCCATCACTACTGTTTTGTTCGCGATGGGTTCGACGCGCGCTCGTTTGATCAGAATGCTACCAGTTTGCTTTGAAAATAGAATGTACGATGGTTAAAAATAAAAAAAAAAGGAACAAAACACAAAAACAGATAATATTCACAAAGAATATAAACGAAGTATAAAATAAAAACGAAACGATTCGATCGAATCGCGATACAATTCACTGTACATCGAATCGAGTACAAACGATAAAGCTGAATACAAGAAATGCCAGGCGTGTCTCGTTCGTGGCACGTTGCCTCTCGACTCATGACGAATAAATAACGTTATAATTCTTGCCAGAAATTGATCTGAGCCGTTGCACGAAACATGACCGTCGATATTGTTTCCTAGACGACGGAGCCCCGCGAAATGACAACAACCGCACTCCGCACAGCGGTATAGAAAACAATGGTACACCCAGTTTGCCTCGTACCAAGCAGTGCACCGAGACCTCGATCATTTCTACCCTTTGGACTCGTGCATCGGCGGTGACCAGTGGTGTCCAGCGAAGAATATGTCCGTCGTCGAACAGTCGCCCCGCGGTCAGGAAATCATTGTTCCGCCGAGTTTGCCGCTGATTTTGAAGCAGTTCTGCAAGGCTGCCATTCGAACGCAGCCTTACGATTTATTGAAGTGGTCGAGCTCGTATTTTCGAGCGTTGGCGGAGGGCGAGGAACCGCCGACGAAGCTCCGACTCGAGTATCCACCCCCGAGCACCGCCTCCGGATTGACGCTCGGTTTCCTCCAGATTTTGCTCCGACAGTTCGGAGGTATAAACAGATCGCGCGCGTTTTGGTGGATCACTTTGCGAACGGATCACTTTTGAACCTCCGTTCGAAGACTAGAATTTGGAAAATATTAGACACGTTTTCGTTCGAATACACTGATATATATATAATATTATATAATGATATTATATAAATATTATTATATATATAAATATTCGCGATACTATATATACTATATACTATATAATATATAATATAATAATATTGTATAAATATTATTATAAATATTCGCGATACTATATATACTATATACTATATACTATATAATATATAATATAATAATATTATATAAATATTATTATAAATATTGGCGATATCGAACGTGTTACAAAAATGTATATTATATCTAGCACAAACGAATAAATAACGAGATTATTATCGAAACGAAAACTATATACTGATATTGTAATTCCTGTAGGTATAACAATAATAATCGAGCATCGCGAAGATGATAACTTTGACGATCAAGTGCATATAGATAGCATAATTACTCGCTTATATATTTTATATATAATTTTTATTATTATCTATATTCTAAATAGAGAGATCAACAGTTGCGACAGAGGTAAATCACGAATATTTATTGGACAGATTACAACAAAACGTTGCCCGTCGAGACGATACTATGGCGATGGGATTGTTTGTGCTTGGACCGAAGGGATTTGAACCTGATCATGATGATCGGGAAATTCCGGCGACGGTGTCAAGTGAAAAAGTTCCTGGCCGTGGCCGTAGGACTTTTGGGATCCAGCCTGTTCGAAACGATGGTCTTGGTTTGCGAATTGTTCACCCATGAACCGGAAGGCGGATCGGCCATGGTTCCTGTTACATTGTTTATGGAGCTGTACGGGTAGGTTCGACAATGCTTTCAAACGATTCAACGTAACAAGATCTTTCCCAGCGCTGTTCGAAGTTGAATTATTTGTATCATAATCGACGAGTTTCGAAACCCTCGGACGGCGGAACTTCGGTCCATTTCGAGCCATGCTTGCAAACGCTGCTAGATTCTACCCCGCCGACAGCAACTTCGAATTATTCGGAGGTTTAAAGAAAAGAATTAACGTCGATTTCAAAGAAGCAGGTTCAAGGAAAAATTGGTAAGGATTTGGATGGATCCAGCGATGGCTGCCGCGGGACCATGAAAGAGTATCCGCCTCGCAAGGGTTGAAAAATAGATACATCGACGGGCAGCTTCCTTCGAATTGTTTGTCATTCCATCCAAACCGGAACAATGCTGCAAGTACATATTTACATGTTTCACAGTTTAACAGCAGTTCTTATCCAATTGTTTAGATACTTAGCAGGACTTCGGTGCGACGGAAGCGCGAGGAGTTCCTCGGACGACGATCCAACGGAATTCATCGTGTTCAACGAGTCGACCGGATCTGGATCATTGGCGAGCCAGGATCTCAGCGAGGGCAAATTTTTCGTGGAGCGAATCTGCTCGGTTGCCAGCCAGGACACCGAAGCGGACGTGAATCTGGATTTGGAGTTGGTGTCGAAGGGGGACGCCGAATCTTCTAGAAGTACATTCTCAATATCGGTTTACGTCGCCCGTTAACAATTTTCCATAGGTTCTATATAGAAAAAGACGTAGATTTTCTCCCGCAGGTGATATAACGGCAAATTTAAGCGACAGTTACACTGGCCGCAGGAAGATGACCGACGAGAAGACGGAACAGGAGTCGTCCAGCGAAGGAACGTTGAAAGTGGAGTGCAACAATGAGACTTCCGGCGCCGATGTTGAATCGAATAAGAAGCTCCAGCTGACCGATGAGAAAAGGTCGAACAAGAGCGGAAATACGTCCGAGAAGGGGACAACCGGTAGCAATACTCCGGAGGAAAATGCCAGCAGAAGTCGAAGGATTACGAGCGCGGACGAGAAGAAGAGAAGAAAGAGGATCCTGGACTCGAAGCTTCTCAAATATTATCCGGACATTCCTGGTGAGGCATGAGAGGAAAAAAAACAAGAGAAAATCGTAGACGTAGTCTTTGAAATTAGCGGAGCTTTGTTAACGTTTGAGGGAGAGTCGACCGTTCTAAGTAACATTTTGCAAAATTACGTTAATTTTCCTTATAAATCGTAGGTGACCTTAGATCCTCAGCCAAGATGGTCACTTATAGGAAAAATATAATATATTATATTTATATAATATATTATATAATGTAATAATGTGTATAGTGTAATATGCGGTACAATGTAATAATATTCCAATCAACATGTTTTTCAATCGTAGGCATCGGACCTCGGCTTTCGGCCGAAGAGGTGGCCACTGTCGCAGTATGGATGAGCGAGTGTGCAAGAGTACAGGAAGGTATGGTTGGTCCACGAAATCTTCGGCATATGAATTGTCCTCCTTTAGACAGGCAACAAAGCTCGAGCTCTTGACAGAGTTCATAGTTCCGTCACTGCTGCCGAGATTGACCAATATTATAATATTACTCGTATGAAAAAAGGAACGCAACCGCGGACAAACGTTTAAAAATTGTGTTAGTTGAGAACGTAGTGGCTTCGTCACAATTATTTGAAGATTTTCGACTTTCACTCGTCATTTTATTTCTCATTAACACAGCAATATACCGAATATTCAAATATAAAAGTTAAGATACCTTGTACAAGAGTAGCAGACTTACACAGTATTATTATTATCATCATCATCATCATCATCATTATAACTACTCTGAGCAGTGACGTAATTCACACTTACAGATAGTTCTTATATCCTAATTGTGTATCATCGTGGACACGTTTCAATTTGTAAGAGGTACAAGTACAGCTTCGTTTGGAAGTTATTTACATGACTTTGTAATCAAACGAAATACGAGTATTGAAATTAAAAAAAAGAAAAGAAAAGAAAAGAAAGACATTCAGTGAACAGACACTTCCCGTTTTACTACACTTAGAATATTTTAATAAGTACAAATTTGGTATAGAATAAGTCTTGAACGATTGTTTGATCGATTGATTTTCTTGTTGGATATATACCTACCGGAGAAGGTAGTATTAAATTAAATATTAAATATGATTGTACAACGATTAATCGCTTATTTAAAATTTATGGTCACTAGTTGTCGTTATATAATAAATTTATAGAAAAATCTGTGAAACCTACGCTTTCGTTTCATAAAAAGAAAATCAGTACCTAGTCAATATCACAGGAACGTTTCACTTAATTTTAAAACATGATGTTAAAAACCTCCCTCCCTCTCTCTCTCTCGTTCGAATCTTCTTACATCGAATCTTACAAAAAATATTACTTCACGCTTTTTACAGAAATAACACATAAAAATGACAGCAGAGATTCACTATACGTAGCGTCGTCGATTTTCCAATAAAAATGTTCACAAATATATATATAAACAAATTTTGCGCATAAAATTTTCTTTACAAGAAAGGACATTTTAATGTGATCTTCCACAAGAACACGGCGCTAATTTCGTTACCAAACAAGGTTAAATTAGGAGAGTGGGCAGTGCTCTTATTCTAAACAATCGTCGCACTTGGTGATAAAATAGATGATAAAACGTTGTAACAAGTAATAAAGCGATTAGACATAATAATAGATTTCTGGCTCTCGCACGATTAGCTCTCCACTCGAGAAGTTCGTGACGATGGGTGAAGAGATTTCGATATTGCACAGGCAATTCGAATGTACTACGTAGAGGATACAGTGATCGGTAAAAGTCATTTAACAATGCACGAACGATTTCATTTTCGGACCGCCTTAGGGGATCCATGTCATCGTTCAAACATACAAATTTTCTGAAATTATTTGAATCCTCGTTTAAAATGTTTCCCTTCCGAGTCAATTAAAAAAAATGAATTCTGTACACTTACTTCGGATCCCTACGAATCTCGTCCAAAAGTTGCACAGTTAGAGACACGTTGCTTGTCAGCATTTCGAATATTTCATTTTTCCCCGCTTTAATCACTTCGTGCGGATAGAGCTTTTTCTTGCCAAATTTAGTGTCGATCTTTTTCGAAACCAGTTCACAATTTGCTATTAATTCTTTAGACACGACGGGCTGTAAAGAAACGTCAACAACATACGATAGAAAATCTGTAGTTCTAGATTATTTTGCTTAAAAAATAACAAGATATACTTACAAGAGACGAATCCAAATATCTTTCGCCGGGCGGAGGATTTGATATTTCCGCGATATTTATAACATTTGAACAATTTGTTATTGTGTTCTCAAATTCTACAACTAGACTGTAATCGAGAGGTAGTGGATACAATCTGGACAGAAGTGTTCTAATTTCTCTGTCCGACCAAGTTCTAGAAATAATGATAATCTTAAGAAGATAATTAACGGAACAACATCGTGAAACAATTATTATGATGTTTAAGAAAGTACTTCACCCTGATTTGTCCGTGTCAAATGCGTCAAATATCTCTCTAATTGGCACTTTGCGTTTCTCACTTGTCAAGAAATAAAAATAGGAGAATGCGAATTGCATATCCTCCGAGTTCCTAACTTTGTGACTAGATGTTTTCTTAAATTCATGTTCAAATTTCTTCTGCATATCAGCAGCAATCCATTTATCTATTAAATGAGGCATGTGGGCAGGTACTCTTCTACGCTCAAATCCGTACGCCGTGTTAAATATCTTGTTTACATACAACAAAGACTCGGCGTACGTATCGAGTTGTCTAGTTCTAAGTTTCCATTGATCAGAGTAATTCGGCTTACTGTTAGTTTTCGCGGTAATATTAACTTGCGATAAGTCCAGGTCATCGTCGTTTAAATAACGCTTCAGTTGTGTACGTCTTTCGGTAAAATCTGAGTCTTGAAATTTCATTTTATTTATCGGACTTGATAACGTTGACTTTTCAGGGGAGGTGATCTGTCCGTTTCTACGTTCTTTATAAAAAAATTTGTTGGCGTAACTCGAGTAGCTATTAGGATTAAAACCACGAGATTTATTTACATTGAACATCGCGTGTATAGTGTTATTTGGCAATGTTTGTTGGGTGAGTATTTCAGTACTGTTCCACAGACTATTGCTTTTGCTTCTCAATATATTTAATAACTTCAAACCATAGTTAGTATTTTCTTGAGTGTCCTGCAAAAACTTTTGTGGATAATCCCCATCTTCGTCGATAGCTTCGCTATCCGTAGGAACTGGTGTACTATCACAATCTCCTCCTGTAAGGTAATTTTTCAAATTAAATAAAATGTATTACGACAGTTAAATACAGTAATAAAGTGACTGATACCATCAAATTCGCATAATGTTGTGTTGCAAGCAGGATCACACGATCCATCGCCTACCCAGGCCCAAGGGCAAACATCTGAACAGTCAGGGACCCACCATGCAAGATACACTTTTTGGCCACCCGCTTGTGTAATAAAATCTTCTGGCCATACTTCAGCTCCTAGCATTACGTCGTCATTAAAATATAAAAACTTATCAGAAATTCCAGGAATTCTGCAGGAGCGAAAAATAATATGTCAAGTTTAATATAAATAATTATTATATGTTCTCTAAAAGCAAATAGCTTTTACATTACCTATGTATATGACTTTCAATAGCAGGACTAGAAAAGGTTGGTAGATCACTTTTGTTTAAAAAAATGTCTTCATGGGTGACAAGAGTGACTCTAGGATTATCCATATCCAACCAACTTGGTATTTGGCCATTTGTAACAATGTATACGTGTCTGACCCATGGCGCATACATTTCCAACGAACGCAATGAATATCTCAGTTCATCTTTGTCACTAAATCTAGAAGCAGCAGTGTTAACATCCAAAATAGGAACATGTTCTTTGAGACTCTTTAAAAAGGTTGGATCAGAACCATTGACCCATGTATAAACAACATCTATCGGAACATGTTGACACAGCTTCTTTTGGAATGAAATACCTAATATATTATCGTTAAAAGAGTGGAACACTGCCTCGTATTTTTCTTTACTCCATGCCACCCAAATCTGAAACAAATTCTAAATTTAATCTAAATTTCTAATTTAATCCTAATCTAATTTAATCTAAATTTCCAAAACAGATAATATTGTTTTAATTCTTCTTATTCGAACAGCATCGAACGTATTTGACGAATGTTAACGATTAGGAATAAAACGAGTTTACAAATGACTTTATAATGAACAATAGAGTAACATTGTTCAACAATCAACAAACACCGGTGTCAAAACAAAAAGGAAATATTATGGGTTTCCCAACCTCTCCGAAGTGAATAATGCCGATAAAAATGCAAGTAAACGCCATCAATATCACCAGCAACGAGTATTTGTACGAGAGTAGATCGTAACATCGACGCTGTAACAATTTCCATGTGCTCATTATATTGATGCAGATTCTACATGCGATTGGCATCGCTAAACACCGTCGTACGAATCCATGTGTAAATCTAGTGATAACTGATAACTGAAGTCTGGCGAAGGAGGGAGGACTTAGGTAGGGGCTGGTAAGTTATACCGCATATACTATAGGTCGATAGAGTTTACTTGAATCCACTATACAGTTGAGACTTTATAATTAGCACCGAGTCTATCCAGTAAGCAATTTGTCCTGAATTTGCCATGAATTTTGATCGTACGCTGTTATATCAAATACTGAGCCATCCGTTTCCACATTTCACACAGAATTTGATACTAATTCTTTGTCCATGCCAAATACGGGCCAATCCAGGTCAAACCGTATACAGTTTTTATAGTTGTTTCGCAGTGTTGTAATTTGTTTTTGTATACGACATCGACACAATAGATTCTCCTGAACAATTCTGTACCCTTGGTTTAGTTTCTTATGTCATATTTTTGTCATAATTAAAATGTATTTAGGGGACCCTGTATTATCCAACAATCGCATCTGGCTAACAGTTTGAGCGTTTTGCCACTGCATCAATTGGCGCTGTACGCACATCGAAAGAAGCTTCGCGTCTTCTCCGTCAGAGGCGCCCTATACGCAGAATGCAAAGTTGCCTAAAAACATTAATTATAGCTAAAATAGAGTATAAAAAACTAAACTAAGGATACAGAATTGTTCAGGAGAATCTGTTGCATCGATATCGTATGTGAAAACAAATTACAACATTGCGAAACGCGATTAATTGCTTCTCGAAGTTCGATGTTGATGTTTAACTATTATGTTAAATAATGATATTTTCCGTTGTTTCCGTTTGATTTTTTTACACGATATCGATGCAGCAGACTCCCCGGAACAATTCTGTGCCCTTGGTTTAGCATTTTATGCTCTAATTTTGCCATAATTAATGTTTTGAGACCATGGACCTCTAAGGGGTGGAAAATGAAGGGTGAAAGTTCATGTACACGAACGCGGGGGATGAATCGTGCGCACAAAAAGAGTTTTATGCTTACCCGATTATGAACAATAATTGTTAGTTTCAAGCAATAATTTGTTTCGTTGGAGAAGTATTTATTTGTATCTGTACAGCCTGGTTGGAAAAGGAATTATTACACAAAGTGATATTTTTCTAGTTTATGAAAATGAAATACATTTTTCAACGCAATATTTTGTTGCAACTGTAAACATTCACAGCTGCGAACATTCACATAAACAACTGAAATTGTCGGATATCGGGCTTATTGTTCTAAAGAAAACAGTAACATTACCGATGGCGAATTATTATTATAATATTATATTTTATATTATAATATTATTATTATCAATTAATTAATATTATATATTATTTATATTATTATATTATTATTATAATAATTCGCCATCGGTAATGTTACTGTTTTCTTTAGAACAATAAGCCCGACATCCGACAATTTCAGCTGTTTCTAATTATATTACAGGTAGAACCTCGATTATCCGGACTAAGCAGAGTGACGCGAATGTTCGAATAATGGAACAGTTGCTTACGTAAAACGCTGGATCATAGTTTCATAGACTTCCACAATAATAAATCATTTTGCACATATGTGAAAATATATTTGAACAATAATATATTTGGATAATATCGAGGTTTCACTGTATTTCGATATTTGCTAGACATGCATTTGACGATAGACAAATAAGAAATATTGGTCCACAGTTAATTGAGTTAAATCGTCGTTAATTTAGTCTGCGGATCTTTATGCATTGCCGAGGTAAATGTAAATGCGAAAGCACAGGTGAATTATAGTTCGAAAGGATTCAAGTTATATCGAGGAAAAATACGCGGTTATTCGTCGCCTGTTCCTTGAAACTGATAATATAATCGATGATTAATAATCACTTAATTCCTTTCATATTCACGCTCTTCCCATTTAACCCGCAGACCACAAAATCATGCAAGCGCTCCGTTCATGTACAATTCGCTATTATTTCGAATTGCCTTATATCAGGATAAATCGTATAATTTCGAAGGAGCCGCGGACTCGAAATAAGCGTAATTTTGTTAATCACTTTCCTCTATCAATATGTTACCGTTTTCACGTACAATATGTTTCAAAAACTACTGCGACAACAGTTATATTTGACCTTACCAACTATGTACTGACAGTGCACGAATGATGCAATGTTTTCTAGAAAAGAACATTAATAAATATTAACATGATATAAAATATTTCCATGTTTCAAGTTATAATGTTCTGGATATCGTTAACCCTTTGCGCAACAAAGTATTTCCATCCCTTCGTTTCCGAATTTGCTATAACGCAATTCAACCATACTATTACTCGTATGTATAACTTTCCAACCTAACTAGAACTTAAAATACTACAATTGTTCCACCTACCAAGATAATCGCGCGCAATTTACCCACGTAACTTATTCATGAATATAATGCGAATCATAAAAACGAAATATAGATGCAGAAATCAATGTCGTGTCTGACCCGACGTAGGACCGCAAAGGATTAAATTCTGGAACGCGTTTAATGATACAAATTTCGAAAACGGACGATTCGGCTCGACAATAAATAATTTTTTCTCGAATTCGATGGCGACGCGTATTGCAAAGTCGCAGCTTCAACGATGCTTCACAGTCGACGGATAAAAGTCGCGGTGCACGCATGGAACGCATTCGGTCGAACTACATTCGGAAATGAAAGATTTTCCATGCCGTTTCGTTCGTCAGGATATCTTGTAAAATCTTTCAAAAATTCTGAAGGCACGTTTTCGCGGCGCAACAGCACAAATGAAATACCCACTACATCAACCACGTGCATCGTGATACCATATACATTGTTGAACATACATAAAACAGCATGCCACGGTAGATCGTAATGGATGATAGCAGGCTAAAATGGTCGTCGACTATGTCGTATTTCACATTTTTCTTCTTTTTTTTTCTAAATGAAATCACTGGTTGTTTGTCTCGTCAATGACTGAAACGCAATATCATTATCAACAAGACGATTATGCTGGAGACTTGGGTGAAACGATGCAAGAAGTATAATCTGTAACAAAAAGAATTATTATCAGTAACGATATATAATATTATAAACCGTTGAAGCAATTGGAAAATGATGAATTTATTCTGTTCATTTACATTAATCTATTTCATTGACTCATTTCGATCTATCGAATTCCAGACTGTCTCGGAAATGGGGGGTTCCTGAGGTCATTTCAAGTAACTTTTTCCTTAGTGAAAATGCAATCCGCGGCTTCGTTTACGAGTTATTAACGAAGAACACTGGCCAATGAGAGGCGAGCGCTGGAGCTAGAGCACGTTGCGCTAGGCGGCCGAGCCCAGCAGCGGAACTGGGCGTCGGATTGATTTCCGGATATATCCCAAAAATCCGGAAAATGAATTCTACTAGTCTCAGTAACTGGTCCAAAATTTTGCTGTTCACCTAGGGGGACCAGTTACTGAGACTAGTGGGATGGATTTCCAGACATATCCCAAAAATCCGGAAAATGAATTCTACTAGTCTCAGTAACTGGTCCAAAATTTTGCTGTTCACCTAGGGGGACCAGTTACTGAGACTAGTGGGATGGATTTCCAGACATATCCCAAAATTCCGGAAAATGAATTCTACTAGTCACAGTAACTGGTCCACTTAGGTCGATAGCAAAATTTTAGACCAGTTACTGAGACTAGTAGAATTCATTTCCCGAAAAAATGAGCTCGCCTCTCATTGGTCACCGTTTTTCGCGAATAACTCGTAAACGAAGTCTCGTAGAACATTTTCGCTAAGGAAAAAGTTACTTCAAATCACCTCAGGAATCTATTGAGATGCATCGGAAGAAACGGATTCATACTTATTACTACTAATCTTACCGAGTAAGTGTTCGAATAAGTTTCTTAACTCAAGCATACAGTATCGTATATCGTAAAAATCGCGAACAGCTGAAATAGACTCAGTCACATGATCGTTGCACCTTGTGGCAACATATTTCGTAGCAATACATACATCGAGAGCCGTGATTGGAGTTTGTTGTCGATTTCGGGATCGTCGTTCAGAAGGTACTTCCTAATCCCTAGTACGAAGTCCCGTACAAACGTGTCCCAATTATGGTGGCTCATGTTCGTGTCGAAGTTATCGGAATCCTTCAACGCTTTCACTTTGTCCGTCAGCTCCTCCATATTCTTCTGTTGAAACTCCCAGTCGCGGCACGAGAAGTACGAACCGTAGTGTATGACTCTCGATAATCGCTTGACCGCCTTGAGCATCCTGCAACAACGCGTGTCGCCGTCATTGAGAAACCGCTGTCTCGGACGCGGGTCCGCGGATCGGAACGTGATGGAACGTGATCCGCGAAAATCTCTGTAGAGACACGCGACACGGTATACTCACTTTGGTGTTTTACCTTTAATACTTAAAAAGGCGTCTGCGACTATCGCCGGGAGATACTCGAAGAAGTACATGAATACGTAGAACGGGATGATGCTTCTAAGGTAATTGATGCTGGGGTATCGTACCACGCGCTTCGTTGGATTCTGGATCGCGTGTTTCACGGTGAGACTGAAGAACTGGCCCCAGCTGAAGAACGGAGACGTGGTTTCTTTTATTATTTTCGTCGATTATTTGAAGAGGCGTTTCTTTGATTATTCGAAGGGAGCAGGCAATCGTCGCGTAACAAAGGCAAACGAAATATATTATATATATATATATATATATATATATATATAATATATATAATATATAATATAATAATATATATATATATATTATATATATTATTATATTATATATTATATATAAATATATATAAATATAATATTGTTTAAATAATTAGTTGTTTCGTTACTTTAGAGGGTACTTCGCCGTGCAGTTGTAAACTTTCACGCAGTTCCTCGGCTGCATCGTGGTGTACCACGCGGCGCAGATCAACGTGTCGATCACATAATCGACGGGCACCAGGTCGAGATACTTCTCATGGAAGGCGACGGCTACTTTCAGGGTGCCTTTAATGATGTTCAGCATGCAACCTGCGAAATTCGGCGTATTCTTCGAATTACTTGAGTTACGTCGAGACGTTGGAATAACTGTTTTACTGGATAACGAGTAAACCCGTCTTTCATCGTTGCGAAAATAAAAATCGATTGGAATGACGAGCTTCTGTTTTAACAGAAGTGATTCCCACGCCACTGAGAACGCGGAAAAACGTTAAAGTTAAGTGTTGAAGAGTCTACGAAATGGCAAATTGTGCAAAGAATGATTGGTGGAATTTTGTAGTGCGAAATCTGGGTGGCTTTGCTCGAATGATAACTTAAGAGAGAGGGGGGAAGAGAAGGGTAGAGGGATAGGGGGAGAGATAGAAAGAAAGAGAGATGGAGAGAGAAAGAGAAAAAGCGAGAGAGAGTGAGAGAGAGAGAGAGAGAGAGAGAGAGAGATGACTGCAACGAAAACTGCTATTATTTTTGCGTACACGTTTTGCAATTAACGCTATAATTTTCGTACGTATATGACTCACGTATGGCTTCACTATAGTTCGCATATGTTACCTGTGAGCCCAACGGCATTGTCCACCCATCCAGGATACGGTTCCTTTCGCGCCGCGCCGACGATGCTCGGCCTAATTATGGCAACCGGTAGATGCGCAGCTTTCGTCAGTATCAGCTGTTCCGCCAAGTTCTTCGTGAACGTGTACGTGTTCGGATGCTTCCCCAAAAGATTCTTCTCGAGCATGTTGATCGTTTTGTCGTCCAGACTGTCGCATATGTCCATCACCATGGAAGGCTTCAATCGCGAGCTGCAAACAACATCGTTGGCAACAAACAACGAATTCGAGTACATACGTCTTTCAACCCTTTGCAGTCGATGCTGTTTCGATTCGAAATCCAAAGCATGATCTCCGATCTGCAGTGTTTTGCACATATTATTCACGCCTTGTGCGTATAATTAATTGTGATTTATGCGAATGAAATTGTGCCCATTGGCGAGCACGATGCAATTTCAACAGTTCGCTTTTCTTTAAAATATAAATAATTATATATAATATATTCATATTTCGATCAAGTGAGATATTTGATTCAGAAAAAGAATTGACTGAAACATTTTCTTTGCGTTGCATTTATATGCTCTTTGCTACAATTCTATATGTGATCGTATTGTATATTTATTAATTTGCCCTAATTCGAGTGGCAAAGAAAACAATATTTTACCTTCTTGTATAAAAAAATGGCGAAAAAAATGTTATACCTTCGTTTCTTATTTTTTCAAGTAGAATCACAAAGAAGAAAGAAAAAGTGAGGGAAAAGTAATATCTATCCAAAAGTAATTATCTCTACATGAAATTAAATAATAGAACGTAACTGATAATAGATTAATAAATGATAATAAATAATAATGAACAGAGATTAACAATAATAAATAGATAATATCAAAGCCTATTGTATATATTATATAATTATATATAATTATATAATGCTCGTGCAACGATCTGGAAAAATAGTGCAGCAATTTCAGTGGCGCCTCAGAGTCGCCATTCGACTGCAAAGGGTTAAGNTCGAGTGGCAAAGAAAACAATATTTTACCTTCTTGTATAAAAAAAATGGCGAAAAAGATGTTACACCTTCGTTTCTTATTTTTTCAAGTAGAATCACAAAGGAGAAAGAAAAAGTGAGGGAAAAGTAATATCTATCCAAAAGTAATTATCTCTACGTGAAATTAAATAATAGAACGTAACTGATAATAGATTAATAAATGATAATAAATAATAATGAACAGAGATTAACAATAATAAATAGATAATATCAAAGCCTATTGTATATATTATATAATTATATATAATTATATAATGCTCGTGCAACGATCTGGAAAAATAGTGCAGCAATTTCAGTGGCGCCTCAGAGTCGCCATTCGACTGCAAAGGGTTAAGTTTTCGAACGAATGAAAATGCGAAGCTCCTGAAAATGGACGCTTAAGCAGCCGGTTTTTCTCATTTCGTCGATGCTTTACCGAATCGGTGTCGAATATACTTTCTACCGAAAATACGGCGAATTAATCGAATTTAACTTGAAAGGAATTCGATGCAATAAAGAAAAGGAACGGAAAGGAACGATCGAGGGAATACAAACGAGCCGCGCGAGCGTCGTGAAAGATGGACGCCGAAAAATTTAGAAACACGAAGAGACAATCGTAGCGATCCTTTTTTTTCGAATGATCGGCGATTTATTGATACTACCGGGCGGGTGTACTTACGCATAAACGGCTTCTTTGACTTCCTTTTGATTCGTGTTACTGTAGGCCGTGCTAACGAAGGCGAAGCTGATCAGGTTCTTCATGTTGCAGCACAGATCGATTATGCGATCCGTGCCCTGCATGTTCAGTGCGACCGCCACTTTTAACGGCTCGTCGAATCTTATGGTGGCCGCGCCATGGAACACTATGTTAACTCTTTGTATCAGCATCTCCTTGTCCTCGGGCGACAGCCCAAGATCCGGCATAGTCAGGTCGCTCTTGATCGCGTGGATCTTGTCGAACGCGGACGGATTTTCTTTTCGAAGTTTGTCAAAGACCTGTTAACAAATGTTACTCGATCGAGAACGGCTTAACACTAAACACTACCAAGCAGGTAATACTAACTGGCATGCGCTGCTTCGCAAAAGTGAGAAGACCGAATTTATTTAGAATTTGTGAAGTTTCTATTATAAAGCTTGCTCCGATAATGTAACTTATTCGAGCGTTTTCCACGAAAGAGTCTCGGAACTTCGCAGAATTGAAATATAATAAGCGGTCAGCTTTGACCGCGGTAGGTTTAGTGTTAACGTGTGATTACAGTAATGTCTCCCTAACTGTGCAAATTGTGCAGAAAATTAGACAATTTGGGAAGAGTAGATACGATTATTCGAGCCTCTATTCATTAGTTTTTATAGTTGTTAACGATCGATAACCATAAAAAACGGGCCACAAGGCTCCGAATAATCGTATCTGCTTTTCTTAAATTGTCCATTTTTGTGGACAATTAGAGAGACATCACTGCATTGTGAAAGCGTTCTTTTGATATTTGGTTCACGAACCGCGGAGGATCTCCATGCAAAACAGTAGCTATCTTAAACTAATTCGTTGCAACATAAATTAGATAAAAATGTAAAATAATGCATACACGAGGCTATAATTGTTCTAAGGTTATCGCGGTTTTGCATATTATCTCACCGCGTTTATCATAAATGAATAAAATCCGCAATCCATTTGTGTATGACAAGATCGAATTCATTTTTAATCGTTTTTTTTTTTTATCTTAATGTATGCTGCAATTAGAACTGCAATTACATTGTTTGAACATTTCTTATAACAGAAGTCTAAACGTTGTAATCATGTATCCGGTAAAAAAGACGGAAAGATAGATGTCGATGAATGTGAGCATTTTAATCCGAGAACTTTATATCAGAATTAGCGATAGAATTGACATTGCTCGTAATTTTAAGCCAATCAAATTGATCCTCGATGGCTTTCTACTTTCAGCTGAATTTGAAAGTAAATAATAAGAGTGAATTATAAAACCTGCGTCGATTCCATCAAAAATATATTCAGCCCACAAAATTAACGCCGATCTCAAATTAATAGTCATTTCGTTAATTATACCCCCGTACAATCTATCAAAATACCTTTCAATAAAAATCGATTAACCTATAACCATAACCGTAACCATCGAATTCTACTAAATTTTAACACGAATAATTGCAATAAATACATAATTATAATTATAATATTATATAATATATATATTATAATTATATATATATAATTATATTATATTATATTATATATATAATTATAATTAAAATTACAGTAAATACATTTACACTGCTATGTTAGAAGATTAGGGCATTACTCAGTCAATTGGCATTACTCCTGATTTGAAACCAATCAAATTAATATAATATATACGAACATAATATATTCTACTCTTCTTATCTTCTATATTATATTATGTTCGTATATATTATATTAATTATATTATATAATAATATTAAAAATAAATAATTATATTACATATTCTACTCTTCTTATCTTCTATATTATAATACAGAAAAGAGAATTTACGGAAGATTCTAGTAGTTGTTTCAGTCGTTGATCGACCGTGTTGCCCTTCTTCGGACGGATCAGTATAAAAATGGCAAGCAGACGGGAACATGAGCGCAGTAATTTTTCCACAAGTGCTTTTCCTATGAAACCGGTCGCTCCTGTCACCAGCACCACCGTATCGGAGTAAAATGCTTCGATGGAACCTCCGTGAATGCACTTATCATCGTTCCTGTGCTGTTTATTCATTTGTACGGCGTTGGAGCTCATAATGAATGGCAAACAATCCAAGAAAGTGTACAATCTGAAAGAAAATCTCAGTTTCAGGCTCAAGAATATACACAAGGCGACCGAAAAATCTTTCGCAATCCGGAAATGGGAATGAAAATCCGAGCGAAGCCCATTTCCGCTCATTGACCGAGCTCGCCTCTCATTGGTCACTGTTTCTCTTTAACCCTTTGCCCAATGATTCAACAATTTGAGTAACAGTTAAAGTAAATTCTCCGTAACTGACGCTCAGATTATACACAAGAATTAAGGAGAAAAATTAAATTAGGGAGAATTTGCTGTACAGTCAATTCTCCCTAATTGACGCTCAGATTGTACACAAAAATTAAGGAGAAAAATTGAATAAAAGGAGAGAGATTTAATCAAGGAGGAAAATTAAATTAGGAAAAATTTGTTGTACAATCAATTCTCCCTAATTGACGCTCAGATTGTACACAAAAATCAAGGAGAAAAATTCAATTAGGAAGAATTTTCTGTACAGAAAATTTGCCCTAATTAACGACTGCACACAAAAATGGCCAATTCGGGAATATATTAAGATTATCAATGTATATAAGAATAATTACAGAATTATAAGATCATGCAAGCTTCTCGTTCTTGCAATCACCGATTGACAGCAACTATAAAAAACGAGCCGCATAAATCACTAGACCGCGGATGTTTATGAAAAATAAAAAAGATCACGCGCCAATTGCGGTTAGAAGGTTACGCGTTAATTGCGGTAAAAAGGTGGCGCACCGATTGTCGTAAAAGGTAGCACGAAGATGTCGGTTCACGTCTTGAATAATTTTAACAAGCTGTAAATAACGTATCATTATCGATGATCAATCTCAATATTACCACTTTTTCTAACCGATTCTATAAAAACAGTCTAACCGATTACCATGTCGCACATTGGTGGCCAGACGATTGTACCAATGTACCTATTTCCGCGGTCGTTTATGTCAGATGTCAGTGGAAATGTTCAAAAAATTTACGACCCTCGATGTATGAATTTTTCAATACGGCGGAATTATTAAAGAAAGAGATTTCTACCCCCAGGCTGATTCTCCGAGGTGTCATTGGCCGCAGAATTTAAGGAATACGATTTTTAATCAAAATTGCCACCGTCGCTTTCGTCTTGTAAGATTCGCGCCGCAGAGAAATATGCACCCAATGCAGCGGGAATATTATTTCCCAGGTAACGGTAACGAATCGGATATTAATTATTGCACGCATGCAGTGACGTGCGACACGTTCGGTCCGCACCGGTTTATGCGAACCGATGAAATTCGCCAAACCGGTAAATGTCTTCCGACTTTCGCAGAAGAGCTCTTTTCTTTTTTTTAGTAATCGCGACCGTGCAGCTATTAACGCGGCAAGTAATCCAATTTAGCAAAAGACGATTTTCGCTCGAGTAAAGTGACACCCGTCTGTGTCATGTAATGCTTCATTCTTCTAGGACAAGGTTACTCTTTACTATTCTCTTCGAACCCTCCGCTTCCGTGACGTCAACTGAATACGTAATTCGAACAGCAACTTTGCGTTGAACAATTGAATGAAATAACGCCGAATTCGATTTCCGCGGATACCGTACCCCGGGGAAATTACATTCGGCGAATTTTAATTAATTTAATCCAGTCTTTTCTAACTCCGATTTCCTCGATTACAGTGAATTCTCCCTAATTGACGCTCAGATTGTATACAAAAGAACAATTTGGGAGTATATTAAGATTATTAACATATATTAGAATAATTATAGAATTGTAGGATTATAGAATTATAGAATTATGGAGTTATATAGAATTATGGATTTATGGAATTATGGAATTGTGGAATTATAGAATTATAGAATTATGGAATTATGGAGTTATAAAATTATGGAATTACGGAATTATGGAGTTATAAAATTATGGAATTATAGAATTATAAAATTATGGAATTATAGAATTATGAAATTATAGAATTATGGAATTACAGAATTATGGAATTATAGAATTATGGAATTATAGAATTATAGAATTATAGATTTATGGATTTATGGAATTATAGAATTATAGAATTATAGAATTACGGAATTATGGAATTATAGAATTATAAACGACTATAAAAAACGAGGCGCAAGGCTCGAATAATCTAAATAACCTCCTCCTCCGAAATTGTCCACTTTTGTGCCCAATCTGAGCGTCGATTAGGTTAAATTAACTGTACTCGTGAAATGTATCTCGTGCTTACAGAAAATTATTCACAGAAAGAAAACGCATATAGCCTTTAGGAGAGAATTGATCGACCTGTACTTGGACACTTTAGATATCGATCGGTCCTCCATTCCACAACCTACTTATCCAATTCAGTCAATGCACACGAGTCATGGACGAGACGCAATTGGTCAGCTTTCGATATTCGTTGCCTTGCAGCATGCTGTCTATTGTTACATTTGACAGCTATACTAATGTCCTTGCAAATTTCCGTCTCTGTAAACAAATCTCACGTGAACGACATCGAATATTTTCTGCTCGACCGTTTCGTATATACTTGCGTGTTTTAAGTAAACAAATTTGATTTATTATGTCATATTCTCGCGTTTTAGTTAAGTAAACAAGTATCTAGGCGTTTCGGACATTTTCGAAATTTTGCGATTTTGCATCGCGGTTGCAAAAATAGCGAAACGTATCAATTTAAAACAACTGAGCCGACCTTTATATAATCCGAAAAGGTCTGGGGAACAATGAAAAATGATTTATGCGACCATTCGCGAGATGATTTGTTTGCATATTAATTGGCGGACACCCTGTATACGTCCGCGACAGTAAATTCTCCCCAAATGTCCTTCCAGCTTGTAAGCAAAAATTGACAATTTGGGGAAAGGAGATACGATTATTGTATAAATTATTAGTAATTAATATAAATTACTATAAATTACTATAAATTAATATAGATTATTATTAAATAATCTTGTGCTTCGTTTTTACAGTTGTCGAGGCTCGAATAACCGTATCTCCTCTTCCCAAATTGTTTCAATTTTGGTTTAAAAACTTAAGGACACTTTGAGAAGAATTTACTATAATTGAAATTGGATCGTGGATTTTCTGCATTTGTGACAAAAGCGAGCTGATCAAATAGAAAAGAGGTATTTAATGAACTTGGAACATTATATTGTTCCTTTCAACTTATTGGAATCGTTAAAAGAATAAATGAATATAAATATTTCTAATTATTATATATAAATATAATTATTACATATATATATATATATATATATATATTTATACAATAATATATAAATACATATATTAATTAATAATATAATAATAATATATATATAATAATAATAATAATTATTATATTTATTGTTATAATTATTATTATAATATATAATAATAATAATAATAATAAATATATATTATAAACATAAATATTTCTAATTACAATGCCAGCCTTTTGTTTCATCCGATGGAACATTTGCCGCGAGTGTAACGGATCGCTCGAGTTTCCGAGTCGATCTTTAAATTGAGTACGATGCCTGGCAACGTATGCGTGCACATATTATGCACGCGTGTGAACGAATACACGTGCTACAACTTTCTCCCTACGCCTCCTTCGTAAACAAATGTTTATGTAACAGGTTGCTTCTGCTCGTTCGCCGTCGCGCTCAAGTCTCAAGTGCACGCATTTGACACTGCCCGGTCTGGGTATCGTCGGCACGCTCTTTGGTATACCTTGAGACTCGAGGAGAAAGTGGCCGTAAAACAGGAATCGATATATAACTCGCTCCCTCGCGCGATTATTTCTCCTTATAATCGACGTTGAAATTTACCGCCGCGCGACGGAGAAAGAAAAAGAAAGAAAAGAACGGCTAAAAATTTCGTCTCTCCGCGTCGAAAATAATATCGATCGACGTGCATTTTTATCGTTTCCTCGTGCGACAACGGACCGGTTAATGTGACGGGGGCGTTTGCATATAGGTCATCATCCTGCGACAAATCGACAGACGAGACTTACGTAAAACGACGAGTCGAAAGGCAAAATTGTAGTTCGCTGCGTGAGAACGCGTTTCGGAAAATTGGACTTAAATGTTCGTCCGAACAACGTTATTAAGTATTAAGGGGTGAACGTGATTTGCATTCATTGATCATAATTTTATCATTATTTAAGATTATTTAATCACAATTTAATCATCATTTTAATGTAATCATTATTTGATCGAAAAATATAAATGTTAATCATATTATTGGAGAGAATGATGAATTAATTGATATGTGACTCGTTTGTTGAGAATATAAAGAATGGGCCTTAATAAATTTAACTTAAAAATTATTATTATTATTATAAAAATGATTAAATTTTGATAGAAGTTTCTTTTTTGATAGATTTAAGAATTTATTCGAAATATAATTGTTTAGAAATATCTCGATGAAATATTTAATCGCCAGGGGATTAATCAGTAAGATCAATTTAGTCAAATGAGTGGTAAGAAAATCAGTTTAATCAACTCGGTGAATATATATTTTTGTAGAAATTAAATTATTATTAAATTTGTTATTTATCATTTCAATTCTCTTTCCGAATTATCCCTTTTGCACTCTCAATTAGTCGTCTATTGTTTGTATATTGAGTTGTCTATTGTTATTAAATGTTTTTCTCTTTTTTTAGAACTATAAATCGCGGTTTATCATCGTAGAGAATCTTATAGCCTTTCCGAACGGTGCCATTACAATGTGGTTTGACAAAAAGGTGTCTGACATTTATCGAACCAGTTCGAGAAGAGTTCACACATTATAGAAACCTTGGCACTCCTTGCTTGCACCGCCGCAAGACGGAAATTTTTTTCAAATTTCCATATTTTTCAGCAGTTTTTGCGACCGATACATGTATGATTTTGCAACCGATACTGTATAATTCTCTTTCGAGAGAGAATTTTAATGAATTTCACCGACGCTGTTGCCTCGATTAAATTGACCGTTAATGGACGCGTTGTTAATAAAATTCACTCCAACCGGATACAGTTACATCGACGAGATTGATTTTTAACAAGAACACTGGAAAATCGAGCAACTCCGAACAGAAAAATTATTCAGCAATTACGTTCAATCTGTAAAGATGATATAAATGAATGGCGGATTTTATGCATTTATGGGTATTATTATTTTATAGATATTATGATTTTTATTTATACGATATATATGATATATATTTATAGATATTATATGATATATATTTATAGATATTATGTTATATATTTATAGATATTATATGATATATATTTATAGATATTATGTTATATATTTATAGATATTATATGATATATATTTATAGATATTATGTTATATATTTATAGATATTATATGATATATATTTATAGATATTATGTTATATATTTATAGATATTATATGATATATATTTATAGATATTATGTTATATATTTATAGATATTATGTTTTATATTTGTGATATATATTTATAGATATTATGCTATATATTTATGTGACATATACGATACAGATTTGATCTATGATATATATTTACACACATTATTTTACAGATATTACGATATAGACATTCTTTGATTAGGTTCAGAGGGGAACTATGTTGCATAGGGGGTTGTTCATATCGAAATGCACCTCGTCCGACGAATTGTTCATCGTTTCGAGTACTATCGACCAAGAGAAATACTGCGATACGAGGGCAACGGGAAGAAGAGAATCCAGAAACGAAGCACACGTCGGAGAACTCACCCTATCTGACGCGGGGGCGAGGATCGTTTCGGTGCGATATCTCCCTATTTCTCGATCCTTCGAGACGCGGGGCTCGTAACCCTTGGAATTCGTGAAGCCGGGGTTGCGCACCCCCAAACATCGCCCTCGAGGATACTTTTTCCACAGTCACTCTCGCACCTTAACCCTCCGCTCACCCTTTTCCCTCCCGCGCGATTCGCACCCTCCTCGTTCGACTTCGTTCGCGTTCTACCGTTTTTTCTTTCCGGGTAATCGCCGATATGGATTTACGGATATCCCATCGGAGTGGTTCCCGAGGTGACAGAAGGTTCGTCACTGGCATTGACGACGATCGTCGGGTGATTCCGCGCGGCTGCGCGTGGCTGACAAGCAACCGATGACGACACCCGCAAAGGGTTGATTTTCGAACGCGGCCTGTTGCGATCCACGCCGAGTAACGATTCGATTTTACGCGTTCGTGGGGAGAAATGGGTCGGCGAAACGCGGAATAGCGAAGCCGCGCGGAAGGATCTCGGGGGAGAGTGTTGCATTTGTTTCAATTTATTCGAATCGTTTGAATTCGTATTTTATTTCTGTGCTGGTCGAACGATGCAGGCAATTTTTATTTGGTGGCGATATGATGTTCGGACACCTTTAAATTTAACCTTTAACCCAATTTAACCTTCTAAGGCGCGATAAGTCCTCCGAAAAATTTTGTTTCGATGTTAGACCGACCAGTTTGACGATGAGTAGTTCGAGTATATATAATAATATGTATTATAATATTAATGATAATATTTATATTATATTATATATATTATATTATATTATATATTATTTAATATTATAATAATAAATAAATATTATATCAGTTTTGGGTAAATATTGCCATTCGACTATCTAATTTTTCACAATTGATTCTAATTTTCACATGCTTCATTAAGGCCTGTAGAACTAACGTGTCTAGAAGGAGTATGTTAGGAATATATGTTGAATAAAATTGATAAATAAAATTGATACATAAGAATGATTACACGAGAATGATAAATAAGATTGAATAAATGAGATTGATAAATAAAATTGGTAAATAAAATTGTAAACGATCCCAAGCACACCTAGCAGTTCTAGTTTTATGGTAAATGTGTCTTTGCGTTAACAAACTGAATTAGTTGTAAATCGTTCGACTAGATGGTGCTACTTACAGGGTAGCTCGGGTTGGGAATAGTTACGGATTGACCGAAGCAACAGGTAGATAAGAATGCCCGCGTATGGATGGGATCGTAAAGCTTCTGGTAACCCGACGCGCAAGTTCCTTATTCTTTCAGCGCAATGCCATCTCGACGATGAACATCGGTTACGCAAACATTTCACGTAACTTCGAAAATTCTGCTTCGTCTCCGTTCGACGGTATTCGGAAATGTTCAGTCGAGTCGAGTGAAACCGAGCTTGCAACTCGATCTTGTCCCCTCGAAAGTTACGAACTCGGCTAAAGAAATGTTCGACTTCGTTCAGCTCGTCGTCGCTTCGTCGATTCGGCTCGAAACGAGAGAGAAATTTGACGAGAAATTTGAGGAGACCGCGGACGAAACGCAATCGCGACGCCGCTTCCGCGGGAACGATTTCATTGATTCTAATCATGCGTTCGCGCATCGTTGCGGCCTCCTGTTTTTTCCCTTTGCCCGCGTCGTTCGATTATAATCGCAACGATTACGCAAGGAAATAATCTCGCGAGAGCCGACGGGAGCGATTTAAAACAGAAATTCATAATTGAAGATGCCCGGACCACCTGTTCCGCAAATTCAATTATACCGCTCCGTTCGTTTCGCTCCGCCAGAAAGATGCATCTCGAGAGATTCGAGAAATTATTCTCAACGACATTCGCTTCTCTTAATTGCATGGAAATTGCAGCGTTCAGCCGTTTAAGTACTCCGCGCCGCGCGCACCAGAGTTCAGCACAACGTTGAAACACTTTAATTCTTTCATGCGTGCATTCGACGGTGAAACTGCAATTTCTTTCGGGGTTGCGCAACAGGCGAAACTGTCTCCGCGGGGACATCATTAACAGCTGCCTCGATTGTCCGAGATCGGCATCGTTTAGCTCGTCCGAATTCGAATTTTCTTATGTTCATTTCGTTCAAGCTTCTTTCTTTTTTTTCAAGCGACCGACACCAACCCCCCAAAATTTCCACGCTATCGAAGGCGTTTAATTAACGATATTTTCGTTCGAATTGCCACTTAAACGAGACACCGAAATTCGAAAATTTCGTTTATCAATTCGCGGATGAAAATCGCGCAAGAGATATTCCGCGGAAGCGAACAGATAATCGCGGCCCGAATTTCCTCGTCGGATGTTCGACCGCGCGTTTATGCCCGGAGGGGTCGCGCTCGAATTCCGCTTTATTTTCGCCGAAAAATAATCCGCGGGAGATATACCGGAGAGCGTCGCCGGCTTAATAAATGCGGCTGCATATGAGCCGTTTACTTTGAAAATGGCATAAGTCGCTTTACCGTAATGAAAAGTGGTGATTTTTTTCATGTTTATACGAAATTATTTATACCGAGAAAGATATCGGTATCCTGAGGATAACAAATACAAGTAAATCTTCTCGAAAGTTAGCGTCCATATTTTTGAACGTGTTAAAACGCAAACCCTTAAATATATCGACTTAAAAACAAAGTGACTTATGCCACTTTCAAAATAAACGGCTCATATACGTGTATAGTTGCACGAAGGCTGACCGAAGAAAGTTCTTCCGCGTTGCCCGAAGGAAAGGACGTGTGCCCGGTTGCGTAATATATCTCGAGCAACCTCTTTCTCTTGCACCAGACGTATTTCTTTTCGCATTGCTTTCGCGAAACTCGTTCATGCTTTTCTAAATTTCTTTCTTATCGGTCGGCCGTCTCGAGCGCGAGACAGCCGTTCGGCGTGTCCGTTTTATCGTGCACCGTTTCACCGTACGAATTTTCAGGAAATTTCTGGCGGAAATCTCGACGTATCTCGCGCAATCCGAGCACAACAGTTTATTCAATCGAGGTAAAACGATGACAATTTATTCGCTCAAGAAAAAGGCTGGACATTTGATCGCGCGAGAAAAAGGCTGACAATTTAATTGATCGTTATTAGCTGGCAATTTAGCATTTATCAGTCGACAGTACGATCTGTCATGTGAAATAGACGCTGTTGGTAGAACATCAATCTTCTCAGCAATTTAACCNTTTATACGAAATTATTTATACCGAGAAAGATATCGGTATCCTGAGGATAACAAATACAAGTAAATCTTCTCGAAAGTTAGCGTCCATATTTTTGAACGTGTTAAAACGCAAACCCTTAAATATATCGACTTAAAAACAAAGTGACTTATGCCACTTTCAAAATAAACGGCTCATATACGTGTATAGTTGCACGAAGGCTGACCGAAGAAAGTTCTTCCGCGTTGCCCGAAGGAAAGGACGTGTGCCCGGTTGCGTAATATATCTCGAGCAACCTCTTTCTCTTGCACCAGACGTATTTCTTTTCGCATTGCTTTCGCGAAACTCGTTCATGCTTTTCTAAATTTCTTTCTTATCGGTCGGCCGTCTCGAGCGCGAGACAGCCGTTCGGCGTGTCCGTTTTATCGTGCACCGTTTCACCGTACGAATTTTCAGGAAATTTCTGGCGGAAATCTCGACGTATCTCGCGCAATCCGAGCACAACAGTTTATTCAATCGAGGTAAAACGATGACAATTTATTCGCTCAAGAAAAAGGCTGGACATTTGATCGCGCGAGAAAAAGGCTGACAATTTAATTGATCGTTATTAGCTGGCAATTTAGCATTTATCAGTCGACAGTACGATCTGTCATGTGAAATAGACGCTGTTGGTAGAACATCAATCTTCTCAGCAATTTAACCGAGATGCTAATAATGAAATTATAATTTCAAAATACTCGGCACGTATTCACCGATTTCTAGAGCGGATTCGATGACATTTGTCACACGCTTTGCAACTTTTGACATCGATCCAGAATTTTCATTGTTTGATGTCACTATGTCACTAGGCTAATGTTGTATATTCCACTGGGAGTAGGTTGTGTATTGTATAATCCACTGGAAAATTGTACATTTCACTAAAAAATTCACAGAGTATATTATACATTCCACTATCAAATTTAGAGTAAGTTATACATTGCATATTTTACTAGAAAATTGAGAGTACATTGTACATTGCACATTTCAGTAGAAAATTTAGAGTAGGTTGTACTTCGTACATTTCACTAGAAAATTCAGAGTATATTGTACACTCCACTGTCAAATTTTTGGTAAGTTGTACAATTGCACATTTCACTAGGAAATTGAGAGTATATTGTACATTGTATAACATATATACATGGTATATTACACTGGAAAATTGAGAATGAATTGTACATTGTATATTCCACTGGCGAATTGAAAATGAATTGTACATTGTATATTCCACTGGTGAATTGAAAATGAATTGTACATTGTATATTACATTGGAAAATTGAGAATGAATTGTACATTGTATATTCCACTGGAAAATTGAGAATGAATTGTGCATTGTATATTCCACTGGCGAATTGAAAATGAATTGTACATTGTATATTCCACTGGAAAATTGAGAATGAATTGTACATTGTATATTCCACTGGAAAATTGAGAATGAATTGTGCATTGTATATTACACTGGCAAATTGAGAATGAATTCTGCATTGTATATTCCACTGGCGAATTGAAAATGAATTGTACATTGTATATTACATTGGAAAATTGAGAATGAATTGCACATTGTATATTCCACTGGCAAATTGAAAATGTTGTATCGTACATTGTATATTCCACTGGCAAATTGAAAATGAATTGTACATTATATATTCCACTGGCGAATTGAAAATGAATTGAGCATTATATATTTCACTGGCAAATTGAGAATAAATTGCACATTGTATATTCCACTGGCAAATTGAAAATGAATTGCACATTGTATATTCCTCTTGCAAATTGAGTCTGTTGTATTATACATTGTACATTCATTGTATATTTCACTACGAAATTGAGAGTATATTAAACATTGTATATTCCACTGGAAAATTGAAAATGTTGTATCGTACATTGTATATTCCACTGGCAAATTGAGAATGTTGTATCGTACATTGCATATTCCACTGGCAAATTCAGACAAATATCGTACATTTCACTAGCAAATTGTGCGTATACCGCACATCGTACGTTTCACTGGCAGACAGAGAATTGATCTCAGGATGAACGGAGCGAATACTGGTGATTCGAAAATGGCAGAAAAATGG